CATATATCAGTGCATCCCAGGGTTAATCTTATAAATAATGAAGATCTTAAAGTTTGTGGAAGTACCAAATCTGTCATGCTTTGGGGAAATGTGTATAAAAGATGCACAAAAATCATCACAAACGGAGCCACATTCAAGAACTGTATGACAGGGGTAGTCGGGATGTGACACACATCCTCCCAAACAAGAACAAGACTACAACAAACATCTGCAGAAGGGAGTCTAGATAATTTCCATAAAAGTTTATCTGTGCTTTTAATGTAATCTTATGTGAATTGTCAGGCCCATACAGTAGAGGAAGGAAGCAATCTGTCAGTGGCGAGCAGCTCCACACCCATAAATATACAATAGTTTTTGAGCAAACAAACAACATTTATCCATCTCTTGCTGTTATTATATTCAGCAGGAAGCTCTTGAAAACAGGAAAACGATTTAAGTGTTGTGGGGTAGAAAGTTTCTGACATTAGGCCTTTAAAGTGGACTATTGTCCTGCTCTGATTTAGGAGACAGCTTTATGTCCTCCTGCAGATGCCCCACTCTTCGTCTTGTTTGCACAGACAGAAACTGCTGAAACCAGTTTTCTTTTTGTCCTTCGCAGCTCTTTATAGCTTTTATACATGTATGCATGGCTTGAAATAACCCATTTATATCTGTCGCTGGTGTGCATGAGCACGTGCGAATGTCTTGAGGTATGCAAGTGTGTGTCCCGCTCCGGTCGTCAGTTCCCAGGCCCCTCACATTGTGAACGCTGCCCTGGTGTCAAAGGTGTTGGCTGTGATGTCGCATGTGTTGCCATGGTGACAGTCAGTTCCTCTACAGAGTAAACGCGACTTGTAGAGGTGAAGCCGTTGCCACCGATGACAAATTCATTTACCACGTAGCGCCGCGGCTTGTGCGCAAAGCCAAAAGATGAGTCCGCCAGTGTGTTTTTAGCTGTTTCCTGAGTTGCACCTTCACTGTGTAGTCACACTTTAAGACTACAGTAGTAATTTTCCAGTCCCTGCAAGGGTTTGCAAAAGCTCGATGAAAACCCCTCTACAGCAACATGCATCACCCCAAACCAGCCACAGTTTCCATTTTTTTTATTTTTGATATGGCTTTTTGATGTCACCTATTTTCTTTTATCTGGCCAATGTGAAAACCATTTGTGTGACCTTAAGTCACCAGGAAATCATAATAACATGAGAAACTTCTCTTGTGGGGAGAAAAGTGACTGGATTTCTGGTGCAGATTTAGAACAACAGCAGACAATGGGGGATTTATTTCAGTATAAAAATGAGTGTGTGCTGTTCATGCTTCCTGTTCTTTCTTGCAATTGCAAGGACATTTTCACTGGAGCAGTTTTCACACTTAAACTCAATACAATATCAGGAAAATGAAATCATTTAAAGTTATCCTTTTTCCACACGCAGCATCCAACAGGAAATGCGTCATTACTACTGGAAATACTTAAATGTGGTTTAAGTTCAGCACACGTGACTACAGATAATCACTGTGAATACAATGAACAAGTAACAGTGCTATCTCCACTGCATTATTTGAGTTAATACTGTTTTGAGCAGTAGAAAGCATACTGCAATTTTAAAACAAAGCTCAAGGTGTATTCTCTCTCTCCCCTTCCCCCCCTTTTCCAGCGGCTCTACCCTCAGCCATTCTCACATTGATGTTCAAGCCTTACCAGAGAGGAATCTACTGCGATGATCAGAGCATCCGTTATCCCTACAGGAGAGACACCATCTCTCATGGGACGATGGCTGCAGTCACCATCACCTGCTCCATAGTGATTGTAAGCCCATGTGTCTGATTTGGCTGAGCCCCTAGTTACTGAAAAATAAGACTAACCTTGTGTCTTTCTACAGGCAATCTGCAAAGAATCTTATTTTCCAAATAATAAATCTTGGCCCCTTCCTTCCACAGATCACAACAGGAGAGGCCTACCTGGTGCACACCAATCGTCTGCGCTCCAATTCCCCATTCAACCAATACCTGTCAGCTCTCTACAAAGTGGTGGGCACCTACTTGTTTGGAGCCGCTATCAGCCAGTCGCTGACTGACTTGGCAAAGTTCACCATTGGCCGTCCTCGTCCAAACTTCATAGACGTTTGCAAGCCAGTGGTCTGTAATGGATACATGTTGGAGATCAAGTGCAACGGCAGCCACCGCAATGTGACTGAATCCAGGTGGACACTTTACAACACCTATCAGATTTGTTATGTGCAGTGCAAAGAGCTAGGAGTAAATGGATGATTTGAAAAATGCCATGAATTTTCATCCCTTTGGATGTGTGAGCTCCTCAACCTATTTCTAAGGCTGAGCCCAGCCACTGTACGGAGGAAACTCATTTTGGCAGCTTGTATTACTCTTTGAGTCATAACCGGGATTTCATTCTGGCTGGGAAGCAGATGGACTGGTAAATCGAAAGCTTTGCCTTTCGGCTTAGCTTATTATTTCTTTATTACTGCTGAGGCCGCTTCAGTCCTCAGTCCATTTTCCCATCACTCATGAATAAGATCCCAAGATGTATCCTGGTTTGAGGCAGCCTCTCTCTTAAAACCCCAACTTACTGACAGCTTAGTTTAAAATCTTTAAGATCTGCTCTCTCCATGGACTGATTTACCAAGTTTGACCTTATCAGTTTTATAGCTGAAAAACTATTTAGATTAGCAATAACAGGTTTAATTTCATCTCGTCAGTGAAATATAATATAATCAATATAAATATAAAACTCGAATATCTCTTTGGTTTCTGCTGGAGTGTTGGAGTGTCCACACTAATGTATACATGAGGAAGTGGATACTATCAGTATTATCAGGTTAAATTTAAATAGACTGCAACGTGCATGTTTCCATTTCCTAGATGACTGTTTATTTGTTTAGTTTGGACGTAATACCCAGAAATAAAAATATTCAAAAATGTAGGCTGCACATTGCCCAAACTGTTAAGATTGTTTACCTTAGATTAAATGGTAAACAAACTGATAAGTAGGCCTAGTTTTAATGCTAGTTCCCATTCATATTGACTGAAAACCATTACTAATGCTGCCATTTTGCTCCCTAGGTTATCGTTCTACTCCGGACACTCGTCCTTCGGGATGTACTGCATGATCTTCCTGTCGGTGAGTGTGTCCTCATAGCGTGAGACTTTCTGCAGCTCTGAAATGGCTGTTTACCAAAAAAACACACATGACTAAGCCAAACAGGAGAATGTGGTCGACACAGACAAAAAAAAAACACCATTGTTGCTATACCACAAGTGGCACAATGGCCGGAAGGTGACAGATTTAATGGTTTGATCCCTGTTAGGGGTTTTCAGGAGTGAATTATGAGCTGCTCAAACTCCACAGGAATCAGCATTCTGCATTTGGGGGGGCTGGATGGATAAAGTGGGACAAATTTTAGATTTAAAAAAAGTGTATAAATATTTTTTAAGGGGGGAAGTCAGGAAATTTGCTATAGGTAAATGGCTCCGATCTTAACCTTAATCTTGTTTTGTTTTTTCCCACAAAAAAAATGGTTCTTTAATGTGCGCAACCTTCGAGCTGAATTCGAATCTGTATTTTTGTGTGTAAAGCTCTATGTCCAGGCCCGGATGCAGGGGAAATGGACGAGACTGGTTCGACCCACCATCCAGTTCTTCCTGGTGTCGTTCTCTCTGTATGTGGGATACACGCGCGTCTCTGACTACAAACACCACCCGGGCGACGTCGTGGTGGGACTGCTGCAGGGCGTTCTCATCGCTGTGCTCACAGTGAGTGCATTTCTGCGTCACGTTTATTGATGTTTATCATTAAAGCTGAGGACATTTATACGATTATATAAGGTGAAAACTGAAATCCTCTATTTTTAAAGTGTTGATAAACATATTTTTCCACTTTTGAATCATTACTTCTGAATCCAAAGGCTGGCTGAGCAGCCTCTTCCTAAAGTAAAATGGTGTAGATTGACAAGTACAAAGACCTAATGAGGGATTTTGGTGAGTTTTGCCAGCTTTCAGGTTGGCAAAGAAGTAGTGGGACCCACTTCTTGAGTTTCTTGGACTTTCCCACTGTTCTGAGTATTGATCAGTCCAATCCAGGCGTGTCGAACTCCAGGCCTCGATTGCCAGTGTCCTGCAGGTTTTAGATCTCACCCTGGATCAACACACCTGAATCAAATGATTAGTTCATTATCAGGCCTCTGGAGAACTTTAAGACATGTTGAGGAGGTAATTTAGCAATTTAAATCAGCTGTGCTGGATCAAGGACACATCTAAAACCTGCAGGACACTCGAGGCCTGGAGTTGTCTACCCCTGGGCCAATGAATGCAGCTGAATGCAGCAGAGCCTTTTAATCAGGGCTGCCCAATCCCAGTCCTCGAGAGCTACTATCCTGCAGCTTTTAGATGCATCCCTACTCCAACACAGCTGAATCAAATGGTTTGATTACCTCTTCAGCATGCCATCATGTTTGGCAAAGGCCTGATAACAAGCCATTCATTTGATTCGGGTGTGTGGGAACAAGGATGCATCTAAAATCTGCAGGACGGTAGCTCTCGAGGACCGGGATTGGGCACCCCTGCTTTTAATGATGGCAGAGAGGAACAACCACTTGCAGTTAATCATGATTGCCAGAGAGAGGCGAGAGCTCTTGACCTTGTTAAGACATTGTAGAACCAAGGGTGAAAAAAAAATCCAAACTAAAATTAAATTTCTCCAACCATCTTTAATGACTTTTTTAAAGCCATTAAAGATGTACCCTGGAAAAAGTTCAAGTAGCTTAGCTTGCACAACATCATGATCATCCCTGTAAGAATGCCATACAAAAAACAAAGATATAAATCTTATAAAGTTTTTATCTGTCTTGTATGAAACTTGTATGAAAAGCATACAAGAGTGAAAACACATAAGATCCCTTGAAAAATTATATAATGAAACTTGTATGTTTTGTATACTTACTAAAAAAATATATGAAAGTAATGAGAAAGTGGCCACTTTCATGAGTAAATCATATGTTTTTACTATTTCTTTTCCATATGGGATGGGCTGCAAATGACAATGGTTCATGCCATAAATGTGACTTACATTTGGAGGAGCCTCTGTACTTGGGAATAGCACCTGGCTATTGCAAAGAACACCTATTGGCGTTTTGAGGCTATAACTGTTAATTGTGTGTTTGTGACTTTACTCTGTGGTATAATATGAAGCTGAATCCCAACATCTAAAAGGTATAATTTAGACCGACTGCTGAACTATTCATTTACAGTGTAAAGCAGTAGCGTCAGCTGTAAGCAATGCTAACGCTTCTATTAAGCAACGTAATAGCCTATAATTGTTACTGTGTTTGTTCCCAAAGGTCCGATATGTGTCCGATTTCTTCAAGCAGCGCCCTCCAGTTTCTGAGCCGCAAACACCAGAGACTGAACAACTCGAATGTAAACCGAGGCCTTCAGATTCAGAACACAGAAATCACAGCTACAGCGGATCAGTATGAGCGCACCACCCTACAGCTACTCTCACCAGCCCGGCCCTCGCACTCTATAACAGCAGCTCCGTTATCAAAGAACGTGCACAGAAGAAAAAACAACGAAAGCAGCAGAGCACAGTCTGCTATTAGATCTCCCTAACACTTTCACAGCTATGAAAACTCCAGGGCCTCTATAAGTTTGTGTTTATATGCTGCAAAGATGTGATTGAGTTGTTTTTTTTATGTTTTATAATGAGTGGGTTTTGTGAGTTTTTTTTCCATTATGTTCATTTTTTTAAAATTTTCATAATTATTTCTTGCAGAAAGATTCAGATTTGTCTGAGAAATTGATGCTGTGAGTCAAACTTAAGAGTGACTGACAGTTGAAGAGATCGGTCCGATTTCAATTCCAAAGATTTTGTTCTGCCCTTGAATGGAAGAACCGATCCTTGGAGGCTGAATACTGTTATACACTTTGCTACAGTCTGATAAGACTGATGTTTTACCTACTCTCGAGCTCGACTGCCTCTTTGTGACACCCATTAGTTTTGTTGTTTGTTTTTTTCTACAGACATCTCTTTATTGTCTTTAAAAGATATGCAAGTGTAATTATGGATTGCTTCCACTGACATAATATACATACAGGATGATTTGTAGCACTAACACTTTTTTTTTTTTTTTTTTAAATCTTCTATATCTAATAAATTGTGCAATTGTTGTTTTTTTCAAGAATGTATGACCACTAATTTACTGAAGTTATGGCGATATTGTTCCTTCTGTCACTTTTTCTCAGACTTGAAAGGGACGGCCAAGGACAAATGGAGATGTTCCTGAGGCATCTTCATCCTATAACCTTCCTCTTTTGATACAAAGTAAATACACCTTCATGGACCTTTTCCTTCCCCATTTATAACAACGTGTGTAACCTATTGTGAAATTGTACATAATGTAATCACTTACTTTAGCCTTCAGGGTGTTTTACAGTTTTCCATAAATACTTGCCAGCATATTCACCTTCCGTGTGTGATTATTTTATCAGCATGAAGAAAGGCATGCAAAGCAGTCTTTTGTGTGGATTCCCACAGAGAGAATGCCTTCTTTTTAGTTATTTCCATTGAGCTATTCTCGGCTGCGTTCTTAGCGAAAGCTCTGTACAACACAGTGACGCAGGGTTCAAGTCAGAACCTGCAGCTCACGGCCCTTTCTACCAGAGGAATGAAGCTGGTGAGCCAGTGCATGAAACAGGAAGTTGTTTGGTTTTTTTCCCCCCTTTGTTAGCAATTATTCATAAATTGTCATAAGCAAAGAATCTTTATTACAAAACCATGTTTAGCGTCATTTCAGCTAAATTGTACAAAAGGTTCCCACTTGCCCTTAGAAGGTAGTCTGATAGTTTTGATTTCATTATCCCAGCTGAGCCATTATGATTTCACATCCATGCCAGTACACTGTCAATTAGATTTATGGTGCACACAGTAATTAAAAATCCACAAATATTTCTCCAGAGATTGGTCAGGCTACATGACATGCTAAATCTACTTGTTCACTCAAGTGCTGCTTTAAAGAGATTTGGGGGATTCTGATTAGAAACAAACATCAGTTGTTTGGCATCAAACTCAGAAATGGCTCAACTACAGCTACAGGGGTACTAAGTCTGGATAGAGATGTTGCAGATTAACTTTCTAATACATTGTCTAAGTAGCTTGGAAAGAAAAAAAAGCATCTGGACTTCTTTAAGTTGTTTGAAGACATTTCACTTCT